CCGAGGCTCCACTGTATCAAATATTTCTTTTGCATGTATGTACATAGTGATATCATGTAAAAATAACCAGTTAGACCCCAGTGAAGGACTCCCTGTAACTATTGAAAAACAAGTTCAATAAACATATCTACAGAGAATCTATTTAGATACGATGGAAACATGGTAATTATGAAAAGGTTTTTCAAAAGTTTTACTGTTTGGTTCCTGTTTTTCAGTGGATGTACAACCTCTACATGCAAAAGGCAAAGCTTTCATTTTAACGTCGATCCTGTAATAAGTAAACCCGCGGAGTAGGTTTACTCTGGTACTTTACTTCTAACCTATCCCTACCACCTACTCGAGCAAAATGCCATAAACGGCGCTAGATCATGCCCCAGAGAAGAGAGGAATGTAGAGCCTATCCATTCTCGCGCACATGGATTGAAAACCAAAACTAATTTATGCCCACACATGGGGAATGCTGGGGAATAAAGTGACGAGTCGGACTCCTCGCAGCAAGATACTGGTGAAACACATGCTTGGGCTTTTAACTAGTACCTGTGCTGTCAGTGGGATGAATAATTACAAAGCATTACGCCTCTTTCCCTGGTCAAATGAATCGCTGTGCCTCGTCCTCTCCATCGCCGTTTCGGTCACTTTCGGTACTCGCCTGGAAGGAAGCAAGGTATTGGAGGATGGATGCTGCCTCTACGTGTGTTCGAATGGGGTTGTAAAAGAAACGGGTAGCACGAAGGAGTTTTACGGCTGCCTAGACAGGACACGGGGGTACGAACACCCCGCCTCCAACTCAAGAACCGGAAGACCTCTGCTCTATTGTGTAAATTCAAACTGCTGCCTTCTTCAGACACTGTTTTGTTAGTGAGCGACGATTACAAATTCGGTCCAGCTTTAGAACGTGAGCAAACTAGAATATTTAATTAAGTTTAAGCCAAAGGTGAGAGGTGAGTTAGCACATGCCCTTCGGTATCCTGTCTCAGTCATAAAGATCAGAACCAGGGCTGGGAAAACTACTTTCCTCCGGTCATCTTACCTTCAAACCTAGTAAACGTTCCCTCTCTACTATGCAGCTGCTACGGTCGGCTCAACCCCCGCCCTCCCCCCAACAAGGTCGATCGGCAAAAAACTTCTCAATGTAAGAATTTTCACAATGACCACTCGTCACTTCATCTGCCCTCACACCACCTGGTGCCGCATGCACATGGACGCAGACTTCGCATTAATCAATTTATTGACTTTTTATTTCGAGCAATCTAACTTTTCAAGTAGTCAAGTTTCGCAATTATTCGTCATCGTTCAATTACAATAATATAGGGGAGACTGGAGTGACACAAATTTAGGCACCCAATCAACGGTAAGTAAGGGGGAGATGGGGTTCAGAGATGAAGTGGTCAGAAAGGGCGGAAGGGGTCTGATAATTAATTGAAATCACTGCGTCCTCGCAGTAACTCGATGTGGTAGGTGTGAAGACGCATGCTGCGTCTGTCTTCGGCCGCTCGCGCGGTGACAACGACCACCGGGTTGAGGTCAACCCCTCATCGGTGGACGTTTATCAACGAGTGTGAATCAGGCACCTATAAGGTACCGGCTAGACACGCCAAATTCCTGCGGCAGCGGACACTTGCGACGGCAGACGTGGTTGTCACGCGGCTAGCTAATCCAGTTATGTGGTCGTACAAAGCGTATAGGGCTCCTTTGACCGAAGATGAATCTAAAATACGCGTTCGCACCTGCTACGTCGCCTTACAGTGACGAGACAGAGGCGTAGCTACTTGTTAGACGCCCCCTTCCCCACTCTCTTCTGTCAGCAGACCCTTCGATGGTCTGCCCAACGAGTTAAAATACCATCGAGGTATCCTCTTTCCGATACCTTGGTGTTACTTTGGCATCCAGTCTTACATTTGCTTTCCATATAGAAGGCATTTTTACTAAAAATCCGTAAACTTTTATATTATAAATAAATAAATTGTATATTTAAGGCCCAAGGGGCCCTTTCATTACCCCAAGGGGCCCTTTCATTACTCCGGGCCCTTTCATATCCACCGCTTGCGTTCATATCGCACACCGCAAGCCCTAATCTGGCGATTTATCGATGCCTGTATTCTCCCCTTCCTTCTTTACTGCTCTCCAGTTATTTTTCCAGCTTTACTTAAAAAAGA